CGTTGAACGACTCGCAGTACATTGGCATGAGCGTCTATTTCGTCGTGATCACGTCGGGCATCGTGGTGGTGCTCGCTAATTTGATGTCCGATCGCGCGACCTTGGCCTTCGTCACGATAACCGCCCTGATCTTGGCCTCGACGACCGCGACGTTGGCGTTGCTGTTCCTCCCCCAGCTGGCGAATATTCTAGCAGGCGAGAGGGCCGACCCCGTGGTCCAAAGCCTCGGCCTGAAGATAGAGTGCAACACGAGAAGATTCGTGACCGACGACAAGAAGTAAGTCACTCGCTTCCATTCGCGATCCTCCCGTCGATTAGATTGCGCGGTTGGGAGTGGCGACGAAGAAACGGGAAAGCCGAAAGGGTGCAGGCGCGAAGAAAGAGGACGAGCGAGCATCGGCGTCGGCCGCCGAGAGCGATAAACGTCTGTCACTTGCGGGCTAATCGTTCGGACGGATCGACCTCGGGACGAAACACCTTATCGCATCCCCCTAAACCCTTGCTCGAACGGTACAAAGAATCGATTCGCCTCGAACCGGGTCACAGATATCGTTTATCATATTATATTCAACTCGCCCGCTACTTTCGTTGGATTTCCTGCGAAACGTCGGCCGCTGGGAACCGTTCATTTAATTCACCGCGACGGGATTATTCGTCGCGAAGCACCGGCGGAACGGGTATCGAATCACGAGCGTCGATTTTCGTTCGGGACCGAAGCCAATTAGGATTTAATTCCCCCGTGTCGAAGGCAGCGGTATCGGGCCGGTTAATCCGCCGGTATCGCGGCGTTTTCCTCTGGCCTCTCGATTACAGCGCGACGAAAAAGTCCCCTTTTTGTTTAACGAGCTTAACCGAAATGAAATTTCACGCCGTGACAGCGAGCTACAATACCGCGTGGAAGTGCAGAATCGCGTGTACCGTCGCGAAATGGCGCAGCTGGAGCTGGAACTGGCCAGATTGGAGAAACAACTGGCGCAGGAGCCGGTCGAACCGTCGCACGCTTCGTCGAGCGCATCGATCCCGCAACGGAATCCTAGCATCGGGGGCGGTCTACCTTTGTTGTTGCTCAGCGTCCTCCCGCCGGTCATCCCCAGGGCTAGCTGGCCGTCCGCGGACCCATCCGGTGAGTGAGACTCCTCGCTACGTACTTGAGGATTCGTTGTGCAAATGAACCCGTGCGACGCCGCTCGACGGTGACGCGCGGAGCCGGATACCGCATCACCAATCAATCAGTCATTCGTTATCCATCCTCTTGACATTTTCTCATGAATTTTATTTACGCCCGGATATTCGACGAACCCGAGAGCGTACGCGGTCGAACCTCCGTCTAGAGACCGACGGGGAAGATGTAGGTCGTCACAGACGACACACGT